GTATATAAATAACTTCCAAATTCAAATAGATCCATTAATAAATATAGTTATAATCTCTCGATGCTTGTAGTATATCACAACATCTTTCACAAACTATTCAGAAATATTTGAGGTTTAAAGACGCCAATTAATTATAGTTCTTTTTCCCATGAACAATAATCTGATAATTCAGATATTTTTTTATCAAATCTCCTATATTTATATTCTCATCCTTTGCCACATAAGCTTTATGAATACCATCTACTATAACTTTTATCGTATTCTTATCATACGTATTTAAAAGCTGCAGTTCAAGAGTGATGGTATCTGATTTCTTAAATTTATGGCCACCGCGAAATCTCATCCCTACCACCATAAAGAAATATGTAACAATACAATCTATATACAATGACGACAATATTTCCTTACAACTACAACAAATATTGCTGGAGGCAGTTACTTCGTGACTAGACATGATTAAAAACTATTATATTTTCTGTATACAAATAATATCCAAGTTCAAATAGATAATCCTATTATCCAATTCACATATCCCGCAACTGCTTACTTTTTTTACCTATGCCTCATTCACATCTTAGTATCACGAACCACATAACTACAATAATCAATAAGGTAAATAATATATATACTGATAATGGTGTCATTAAACCACTTGCCACAATAGAAATTACTTCTATTCCTCCTACCGAAATCTGCGAATATGATTTAATCAAAGAGGAAGTATAATTTTCTACTTGTGCAAGGTGTGAAGTCACATTCTCAGATGTGCTCAATAATGTATCAGAATTTATATAAGTGTCTAGCATAATATCTTTACTAGTTTCACTATTATTAGTTTCAGATGTGTTAGCATCCTCACTTTGTGAGTCACTTACCTTGTATATAGGGATGACTCCATCATCGTTATAAGTTGAAATATTATTGCTAAGCAAGCCTGAGAATGCATCACCATGGTGATACAAAACTTCATTCTTATCATCAATTTTTTCAATATTTTACATATTTTTTCTGCATACTAGATATGGACTAAGATTATTAATATTTTTATTAACCGCAGAGATATTATTGAAATTTGATATGGAACTTTGTTTCTTGCTTTGTGTATTTTTTTTGACATCTCCACTAATTATTGTAGAGCAATTAGTATTTGACTTAATAGGTTTCGATATAGCTTTTGATTTTAGACATTTTGACTTACTAATTGTTGAAACTAACTCCTGTTCTACTTCAGTGATTTTAGATTGTAATGAATTCGCTTCTCCTAATTTAGTATAATATTTGATTTTATATTTAGTAAGATTGGTATTTTTGTTTTCCAATCATTTGATTTCTTCTTTGAGTTGTTTATTAATCAAGTTATATCGATTTTTGTTGTTAATGCAATGATTTAATTTTTTCTGGAGATATAAAATCTTGTCATTTTTTTTCTCCAGCTCTTTATTAAAAATATCTGATCGTACTTCTGCAAGAACTTTAACATTTCTAAATTTGAAACATTTATTAGTGAAATATTCAGTTTCAAGAAGTAACTCATTACATTGAGATTTAAGTTCACTTTCTTTAGTACTATCTAATTTATATTCACATCCTTGAAAATTTTTTGCATTGGTGGGTTCACTATACAAGGTATGTACTGATGCTATATAATTGAAAGAATAATGTTTACTAATTTATATAAAAAAGGAATCTGGACAAGAATTGATAATTAACTGGTTTCATATAAAAATGAAACTGGTCAAAAATTGATAATTACCCAGTTTTATAAATATACATATTTTCACCTTTTCGCAGTACTTGCTCAAAGCTTTGAATAATAAAGTCATGAGAATCAGGATTTTATTTGATTATTTTCCAGTCTTTATTTGATTATTATTACCTGATATTTATCTAAATTTAAATTAGATTTTTTTTTTATATTTTTTTTTAAAATAGTTAACTCTAATACTAAACATTGAGTTCGAGCATATCTCAATTCTAATACTACTCTATTAACTTCTGAAGTAATCGAAAAAATAAAAAACACTTATGCAAGAAAAATACCAAATAGAAAACGTGATATATATAAAGATTATAGAATTGATAGTGAAAAATATGATAATATTGTAAATAGTCGGATATATCTACAACTATACATGTTCCCAAAATTGATTTTGGATTTTTGAGGTATTTCGACTTTTTGAGATTTATGCAAAATCTATTCTATATATAGAAGTAAAAAAAGTACCTAGTTATATGTATCTTTAATCAAAGAATAAATCTGGGTGGTCAAAAAATTTTGAATTTTAAGTAAAATAATTTCGTCTTCTATGAAAAACTATTTCAACTTTTTTCCTCAAAATTGCAATTTCGGGGCTCCAAAATAATTTTGCATACAAGTATATCTACAACCGTCTAAAATAGAAATAACTTCTATTAATTCATCTATCTTGATTATGCCAGTTTCGTCGATATCTTAATCAAAAATCTTACTTAAATATAGTTTATCAGGTACTATAAATCTTGAACAAGTAATTCTTTCGAGTAAACTTGTATCAAAAAAACCTAGCAGAAAGAAGATCGATAAGTCAAGCCCTATTGCAGAATTACCTAAAGGTGGAGATCTATCAGAATCAAAAACTATATATCATTCTACCTCATCAATACCAAATAATGATGTACAAACCAGAATGGAAAAATTGCATGAATATAAAAATCAGCTTCAAGATTTATCTTAAAATCATATCAATTCCTTTTTAAGATATTCTGTATAATCAAAGACCCTAATAAATTCCTTTTTAATAATTACTTTATTTTCTATATTGTTCATACCTGATATAATATGAATCTTGAAATGAAATTTTAGTATAAGAAAGAAGTTATCTTGTTTGTCAGAATTTACGTATTTTTTTTATCTCTGATACCTGTAATTTTTCTGTATTAAATGTATTGCGTGATTCTTTGCAAGTAGAAAGAGGAATTGTAATAGTCTTTCAATTGTGTGTTACTATAAATTCCCCTTTTACTATAGGATCCCATCTGATATAATATTGCCATTTTGTACCAAGTATCATTATAGATATATCTTTTCTATTTCGATTCTTTTTTGTGAGAATTATGGATATTTCTTTTTCAGAAACTATTATAGAATCCTTTTCACTATCTATAGATATAGGAATGTTATATGAAGTACCAACGAATTGAGAATTTTCAACCATATCTGTAAGTTTGTGAACATTTTTCTTATCTATTTTTATTCCTAAATATTCAGGAATATTATCTGTAAACAATGAATCATCTGCATCGGTATCTAGAATTGCGTGAGATATTATCAAGTCACCTATTCTACAAGAAATCGTTGCTACATCATTAGGTTCTTTTATATCAAGAAAATCAATCTCAAAAGGGTTAGGTCAATTTTGTCTTATTTGTACTTCTTGATATACTTTAATGACATGATTTAATGTAATGGAATTGTCAAGTTTTTCTGGTAAAGATACAAGCTCATAATCGTGATTCGTTTCTTTGTAACTTGAAGAGTTTAGAGTCTAGTCCTTAATAATTTCAATAAGTGGTTGGAAAATAGTTAGATATTTTTTCGTAATAATTTCTCATACCTTATTTCTTTATTTGACTGTATACTTTTACCATAATATAAATCAAACTGATCTTTCATCTTTATAAACAGATTATTAAGAAATACACGAGCTTCAATGAGAATCTCCTTAGGATAATAGGATATTAATTCAGATATAATATATTTAAGAGATTCAAGAAATACTTCCTATTCCAAAGTAACGATCAATTTTTTCTTAGTAGAAGGCTTCTTCTTTACAGAAATTTGACTTTTTTTTTACGTTAAAACAATTTTGTGGTTCATTATCAGAAATAGTTTCTTCATCTTCACTTTCCTCGTCTTCGTCTTTTAATATTTCAATAGGTTCATCTTCTTGATCATAATCTTCTAGTTCAGATTGAATGGTATAATTAACTTTTTGTATTTTCTAATGGGGCTAGGACACTTATTTTTTCTATATCCAATTTTTCCGTAATTTGAGCATTTGTATGTAACTTTAGTTGGTTTTTTTGTAATATATACTTTTTTAATTACTCTGGTACTGGCTCCATTAACTTAGCTAAAAGGTTCTTTTTTAATATGATTAGATTACGTTCCTAATCTTTTAGTAAGGTCATTTTTAACAAATTGATGTATTGCTAGAGGATCTGATAAATTACCTGAATATCCCAATCGTATTGCAATATTACCAAATTTTTCTAATGCATCATTTTTTTGTGAAATTGATTTATAAGAATACTGTGTACTATGGTATTAGTTCCACTATTAATTTCATTTTCAAAATTACTTGTAGATTCTCTAGACTCTAACCAAATAGTTCTTAATTGCATAAAGAAGTCATTTACAGTATTTGGATTTGCTATTCTGATTCGTGTTTCTAATATAGAAGATAAATGATCATAAAGATATGTAAATACTTCTCCATTGACAATACCTAATACATAGGGTCTAATTCTTTTTTCATAAGTATCAATTGTATCTAGTGAAGTGAACCTTTCACTCATAAGTGCTTTTAATAATGCTCATTGGTTTCCAATCATTATTTCTTGGTATTTACCTTGCATCCAGTTATAGACTTCTGCTTCAGTAACAATATTTGCATTAGCATTATATAGGTTTTATATTGAAACTGGAAAAAATCTACCTGTCATTTTACTTTTCATGACATTCACTCTTTTTGCATCATTAAAAGTGACAACACCTAAAGGTCTGGCTGTTTCATTTATAGCTCTAAGTTTTGCATAATAAGTATGCAGTGGTTCTTGTTCATTATAATCTGGTAATATAACAAGACGTGGTGAAATAGTTTGCATAATATCTTGTATGGCATCCATGTTTGGATTTGATAATGGATTATTCTGTAATACAAAAATTTGTTGACGTAAATTAATAATTGTTTGCTGTGAATTTTTTCTCTATTCTTCTATTTTGTATATTTAACAAATATTCAATGACATTCTTGCTGTTCATTTGTAAAAGCGGTTCGTGTTAAATTTAAAATTCCTTGAGAAGTATCATATTGATTTTGAAGTTGAGTAATTTTTTGATTGACTGGTTGATTATTTTGTGTTATTTCCTGGAGTTTATTTGTAAACATTAAAATTAATCCAAGTTTTTTTAAAATAGTATCTTGACTAAAAGGTACTTGAATTCGATTTTGAAAATATAATCTAACATCATTTAGATATTTTTTTGAATATCATTATAATTTTGCTTAATTTCTATTGCAGACAGTTGGGTAGCCTTTGGGTAGGGTTGTTAAGTGGAACATAATGTTTTGGCATTAACTCAGGTTATGTATCACTCCATTATGGAGTGGGTTAAGATTTTTAATTTTTTGTATTAACCCGAAGTAATTTATTTATTATAACTCAGGTTACTATATAATTTTTACTCCGGGTTGCTCCAGGTTACTCCAGGCTACTCTGGATTGCTTCAAGTTATTTTAATAATTTGATTGGTTAATTAATTAATAAAATGATAATCAATTAATTTTAATTTCTTTGTTAAACCTCTTTTATAATTATCAACATCAAATAATGATTTTAATAACCTGTGATCTGATTTTTGCATTTTTTTAGCTCATTAGATTTCTCTCATCGAGGTGAACATTTTGATAGTTATTTCATCCAGATGGACATCTTTACATCATGTTATTAAATAAACACATGTTTAATTAGTAATAAACCTCTTTTATAATTATCTATATCAAATAATGATTTTAATAACCTGTGATCTAATTTTTGCATTTTTTTAGCTCATTAGATTCACCTTATCGAAGTGAACATTTTGATAGTTGTTTCATCCAGATTGGACATCTCTATGTCATGTTATTAAATAAACACATGTTTAATCAGTAATAAACCTCTTTTATAATTATCCACATCAAATAGTGATTTTAATAACCTGTGATCCAATTTTTACATTTTTTAGCTCATTGGATTCCTCTCATCGAAGCGAACATTTGATAGTTGTTTCATCCAAATTGGACAACTCTACGCCATGTTATTAAATAAACACATGTTTAATCAATAATAAATCTCTTTTATAATTATCCACATCAAATAGCAATTTTAATAACCTGTGATTCAATTTTTGTATTTTTTAGCTCATTAGATTCATCTCATCGAGACGAACATTTTAATAGTTGTTTTATCAAGATTGGACATTTCTACGTCAAGTTATCAATCAAAACAGTTTGTATATTTTTTACAAATTTTTTTAATTATAATTATTACTCTGTGGAGTAACCCGGAACAACCCGGAGTATACCTGCCACCCAAATTCAAAATTCAAATGCCAAAATCCCAAATCCCAAATCCCAATCCCAAATCCCAAATCCAA